CACCCGACGTCACAGTGAGGGACGGAGACGCCTCGCCAGCTCCGCGCCGATCGTCGGCGCCACTCGACGTGTTTACCCGGAGGCAGCCGACTGACCACTGTCAGTCGAGACGTCCGCTGCCGCCACAGGCACACAACACACAGCGAGAAGCGCTGGCACCCAGACGCGGCAGCGCCAGCCCAAGCGCGAAGCGGTCAAGCAATCAAGCAACAAGCAGCAGGAGCATGCAGGAGGAATATAATCCCTTAGACGCGATACCCGGAGGCAGCCGACTGACCACTGTCAGTCGAATAGTGGATTTACTGGCAGAAGGTAAAAAGTGCCTAAGGGATTTTATTCCTCCTGCATGCTCCTGCTGCTTGTTGCTTGATTGCCTGACCCTTAGGCTGCTAATGCTTGTGTGCGCGGCTTCGCGCTTGGGCTGGCGGTGCCGCGTCTGGTTCTTTTCGGGCTTGTGTTTTGTGTGTGATTGTGCAGCTTCTCGCTGTGCGCTGTGTGCCAGGAGGTTTAGCTTGTTTCTGCTTTGTTTTGCTTGAGGCACTTTTTACCTTCTGCCAGTAAATCCATTGCCCTCTATCTGTGTTTTATTCGCACAAGGTAAAAAGTGCCATAAGCAGAACAACAATGGAACAAAGTAGGACCACTTTGAGGCACTTTTTACCTTCTGCCAGTAAATCCTATACTTTCCGCTGCCTGGGGTGCTTGCTGCTGGTCCGAGCTCGCCTGCTTCCTCCCCGGCATCGGTCGGGTCACGCCGGTCCTTGGGCATTGCTCAGCGGAGTCTTCGCCGGAGGTCTCCCACTCCGATGGGGGAAACACGTCGAGTGGCGCCGACGATCGGCGCGGAGCTGGCGAGGCGTCTCCGTCCCTCACTGTGACGTCGGGTGCCTCCGGAGAGCTCGACACCACTGGGGTGCTTGCTGCTGGTCCTGAGAGCTCGCCTGCTTCCTCCCCGGCATCGGTCGGGTCACGCCGGTCCTTGGGCATTGCTGCGGCGTCGCCGCCGTCACGGGCGGCTACCGCTGACTCGGCTACCGCTGACTCGGAGGCTAGCGAGGGGGACTACCTCGAGCGGTACCTGCCGGTTCAGCTTGTTCCTGCTTTGTTTTGCTTGAGGCACTTTTTATCTTCTGCCAGTAAATCCTCGCCGTGTTCCTGTGTCCAGCCTCCCTCCGTCCGCTGCCCCAGGCGGACCCCCGGGCAACGTCGGCTCCTTGTCGGCGGCTGCCCTTTCTCCGTCCGCGGCCGCCCGCTTTGTGGCGGCAGCGGACGTCTCTTTTTACCTTCTGCCAGTAAATCCTATCTCCATGTCTCGACTGACAGTGGTCAGTCGGCTGCCTCCAAGCCTCCGGGTATCGCGTCTAAGGGATTTGATTCCTCCTGCACTGCCAGTAAATCCTATACCTGCATGCGGCGATCCCACCTGCCCCGGCTGCTGTGCCTGATGACGCAGGACGCCCCCCGGCATCTGTGGTTTGCGCGCTCTCGTCGACTCGTCTCATGAGCACTTCATTTTCTCCGCCTGCGCAGCGCAATGTGACCCCTCTTGTCATGCGCGTCTTCCCTCGCCATGTGCATGCTCGCGCTGCGCTGACCGATCAGCAGCGTGATATCCTCACCTTGCACAGCCGCAGGACACACTCGCTCAAGTCGCAGGATAGGGTCTTGCAGTCTACCATCTTCGCTCATTTTCCTGAGCGTGACCTGAGCCACTCTCCGATGCGAGTCTCGAGGTACTACCCTCGAGGGTCCGAGCAGTACGAGGGCTTGATGGCGGACGTGACGTTGGTCCACCCTTACATTGGTAGCTCTGCCGACCTGACCAAGTGGGGGGAGGTCAACCTCGACGCCCTCCATGTTGCAGCGTCTGAGAAGATTCGCAAACATCGCGCTGCATATGCCATGACTACTCCTCCTCGAGCGTTCATCCCTCTTGCCATCTCGACGGACGGTACCCTGCATCCTGACACCCTCCGCTTCATCTGGTATCTCGCGGACATCATTGCTCAGCGCTCAATGCCTCTTGAGGATGCGGCGTTTGGTCGGCACTTCGTGCCTGATGACCGACCTGCTGCTGAGGTCTTGGCTCGCAAACGCGCCGCCACCTATCAGCGCCTCACCATGCAGCTGACGCTGGAGGCGCTCTTGTCTGGTGCGAGGCGCATGACGCCCTTGCGGGCGCAAGCACTTCTCGAGCCAGAGGACAGCTCCTCCTCGGACTTTGTCGAGTCGCCCGAGGGGGAGTCTTCGCCGGAGGTCTCCCACTCCGATGGGGGAAACACGTCGAGTGGCGCCGACGATCGGCGCGGAGCTGGCGAGGCGTCTCCGTCCCTCACTGTGACGTCGGGTGCCTCCGGAGAGCTCGACACCACTGGGGTGCTTGCTGCTTGTCCGAGCTCGCCTGCTTCCTCCCCGGCATCGGTCGGGTCACGCCGGTCCTTGGGCATTGCCTTCCATTGGGTTCTCGACTGGATTTGTTTGTACCAGGCTAGCCTGTTTGTACCGAGGTATAATTGAGTTTTACCGGGTTCAAGCCTCGGATTTTTGTATCAGGATCCCCTTTCCCCCTCCGTACTAAGTTTGTACTGTCAATGTCAGCAATTCCCGTGGGCTGGCAGTGCTCCCTCGACTATCACCTCTACACCACCGGTATGTTTCACAAGAGATCATGTCAGGGTAGGTAGTCTGAGTAAATCCACTATTAGCCAGGCGAACCCCTCGGCAGCGCCCCTGGGGGCGGGCAATGGATTTACTGGCAGAAGGTAAAAAGTGCCTCAAGCAAAACAAAGCAGGAACAAGCTGAACCGGCAGGCACACAGTCCACAGCGAGAAGCTGCACAATCACACACAAAACACAAGCCCGAAAAGAACCAGGACTGCTGGCACCCGGTAGTCGCGGCAGCGCCGGGGCCAGCCAAAGCGCGAAGCCGCGCAGACAAGCAGCCTAAGAGATTCAATGGATTTACTGGCAGAAGGCCATCAAGCAACAAGCAGCAGGAGCATGCAGGAGGAATAAAATCCCTTAGACGCGATACCCGGAGGCAGCCCGCCCCGAGGGGCGGGTAATGGATTTACAGGCAGAAGGTAAAAAGTGCCTCAAGCAAAACAAAGCAGAAACAAGCTAAACCTCCTGGCACACAGCGCACAGCGAGAAGCTGCACAATCACACACAAAACACAAGCCCGAAAAGAACCAGGACTGCTGGCACCCAGACGCGGCACCGCCAGCCAAAGCGCGAAGCCGCGCAGACAAGCATTCAATGGATTTACTGGCAGAAGGCCATCAAGCAACAAGCAGCAGGAGCATGCAGGAGGAATAAAATCCCTTAGACGCGATACCCGGAGGCAGCCGACTGACCACTGTCGAGACGTCCGCTGCCGCCACCGTGAAAGCGGGCGGCCGCGGACGGAGAAAGGGCAGCCGCCGACAAGGAGCCGGCGTTGCCCGGGGGTCCGCCTGGGGCAGCGGACGGAGGGAGGCTGGCGGGGACGCTTCCATTTTTTACCAGAAGGTAAAAAGTGCCTTAAACAAAAAAACAAAGCAAGAACAAGCTTAACCTGCATGCACACAGCGCACAGCGAGAAGCTGCACAAACACACACAACAAAACAAGACCAAAAGTAACGGATTTACTGACAGAAGGTAAAAAGTGCCTCAAGCAAAACAAAGCAGGAACAAGCTAAACCTCCTGGCACACAGCGCACAGCGAGAAGCTGCACAATCACACACTGCGTCCAGGAGGTTTAGCTTGTTCCTGCTTTGTTCTGCTTGAGGCACTTTTTACCTTCTGCCAGTAAATCCATTGTTACACACAAAACACAAGCCCGAAAAGAACCAGCACTGCTGGCACCCAGACGCGGCACCGCCAGCCCAAGCGCGAAGCCGCGCAGACAAGCAGCCTAAGGGTCAGGCAATCAAGCAACAAGCAGCAGGAGCATGCAGGAGGAAGAAAATCCCTTAGACGCGATACCCGGAGGCAGCCGACTGACCACTGGAGGAGGAGTAGATACAGTGTGGATCCTCGTTCTCGCCGGACTCCGGGACGGCAGGTACCCTCCCATCCTCATGGCCGCAAGAGCCTACAATGGATTTACTGGCAGAAGGTAAAAAGTGCCTCAAGCAAAACAAAGCAGAAACAAGCTAAACCTCCAGGCACACAGCGCACAGCGAGAAGCTGCACAATCACACACAAAACACAAGCCCGAAAAGCGGCACCGGCCAGCCCAAGCGCGAAGCCGCGCAGCCGTTGAACGAACTTCAGTGGCCACAACCAGAAGCAGCAGCAGCAGCTGCTGCTTCTCCAGCCTGGCAGAGTGTTCAAGCCTGAGTATGGGGGGAGTCCCAGCGCCTGCCGCGATAGGCAGTCCGCCGTACTTGCCAGTCAGTGCCGCGAGCCGGGCCGCAGTGATCATATTGGCGGAGCCTCCGAGGGGCGAATCCGGCGAGTCACTGGCCGCCGAGCCCGGCGCCCGGCGCGGCCGGGCGCCCCCGGACTCCGAACCTGAGTGCGCGGCGGGAACATCGCCGCTAGCGGCTGTTTGCCGCCTGGTGTGTCACAAGTTTCGGACAATGTCTCGTGCTGGTTCATATCAGGCAGGCTGCTGGCACGAGACAGTACAGGTGAACCGCATATCAAGTTGTGGCAAACACCGCACCGTCGGCACGGTGGCGGTGTGAACGGACTCGCGGGGACGGACCGACGGCCCGGGTTTCCGACTCGCCGAGTTCTCCGCCGCCGCTCTAAGTTCACCGTGCCAGTGATCGGACTGATTGCATTAGAGTCAACAAGCCGGGGCGACTCGTGACACCAACATCGGCCCCGCTGCTGCCCGGCCGCGACGCACTGTGCCGGGACCCGACTTTCCTGGCACCGTGCACTCAAGCAGTGACTCAGTGAGTCCGGCGCCGGCACTGCTGCTTGCTGCCAAGTTCTGCCGCCGGGCCCGGAGCTTTGGAGCGATTCATCTTTTTTGGGCCACGAGGAGTCCGGGGGGTTTAGGGTAGGGATACACTAGGAAATAGTGGGGTGGGTGAATTATTGTATCAGGTAGGGTCCTCAGCAAAGGAAAAGTACCGGTCCTCATCAGTCAATTTCAATGGAAATTGAACCCCAAGGGTGATTGACCCTGCAATAGCCACCCCTCTGATTCATGCTACCATCCTGGTGTCTACCCCTGAGGTGTCAGTACCCACCCGTACTATCCCTGCCTCTAATGCCACGCGGCACGCGCATGCAGACAGGGATTCAGTGAAGCCAACGGGGGAGAGGGGGGAGAAAGACTGAGGGAAAGATAGAGGGGTTGTATGAAGAGAGGACACGGATTGAGGGAGAGATAGTCGAGATGCTGTGAGATAACGTAAATGCCAGAAGGTTCAATGCGAGGGGTCGGGCAGATGCAGATACGAGCTATGGAGCTTTTATGTGCAGCAAGGGTGCTTCTGCACTCTTCAGAATTCCGAAAAAAGAAATGTGTAGACGAAAACTAAGAATGGTATCCTCAATGAATCCCGCTATTTTGATTGGCATGTGTCATATATGTGTGGAAAAAAAGATAACACCTTTTATTCACTGATTGAAATATGCACCTTCCAGGAACATGGCTGGAGACAATCGTGACGAGTATGACGATGACGACGTTCCTTTCACCAAGGCAGTTATTTGCTCAAGATGATGGCATTTCGCTGAAGCATGATTGAATTGCAGGAGCTTGACCTTTCGATGGACAACGTAATTGTGGTGGATAACCTCCCTGTTGTGCCTCCAGAGAAGGTCTGAATCTGATTGTGTCACTGCGACTTCAAGCTCAAGTGCTCGGAAATGAGAGACATGACTCAGGTGGAGAAGCTTGCTGGTATCTTGTTGAAGCTTTACTCCAAGATCGGAGCGATCGTAGAGGTTGCTGCTGTTTGCTGAGATTTGGGGACCATGGCTGACTTGCGATAGGATGGCGATTACAACGGGCTTCACATGCCCATGGATGACGAGAAGGGAATGAGCAAAGTGAGTTTTTGCGGTATGCGATTGTGCACGAGTTGAAAGCTGGGAAGGGATTTGCTTTCATTGAGTTTGTGGACAAAAAGTCTGCCGTCATGGCGGTTGAGCAGGTACGAGGCTTGACAGCATGGCCAATGTTACATGATCATGGATATCACAGACTGACGGGCACAAGCTTGACAAGAACCATGTGTTTAGTGTGTGCCGGTTCCCGGAGTTCCATCGCATCGGTCTCGCCGACACTAGTGGCAAACTGGGTGTTGACGAAAATTTGTTGGCCAGTGAATGTCCCCGACCAATATGAGGCGCCTCAGCCACCACAATACAAGGAGAGAGGAAATCTCCGCGAGTGGCTGCTCGATCCAAAGGCAAGAGATCAGGTACAAAGATCGCAAGAAATTCTCCTTCTCTGAAGGATGCTCTAGTACGTTATCCGTTACACCGACGAATCTGAGATTTATTGGAACGACACCGTCGATGTCAAAGAATCTGACAGGCTTGTGTTTTCTCGCAAGAAATGGACAGACACAGGTGAAGACCCTTGACAGTCGCCCCTGCTGAAGACGTCATCCTTGCAGGGCATCAGTGGTCCCCACATGGCACCTACGTCGTTACCTTCCATCGCCCTGGTCTTCGTCTTTGGGGAGGCCAAAACTTCGAAGCAGCTGGACGTTTCATGCACAACAATGTGAAGTTGGTAGACTTCTCTCCCTGCGAGACCTACCTCGTCACAGTCACTTGGGCTGGTCTGACCCTGCTTGTGTGCTCACTGACCGTGCTGACCGATACATCAGACCGTGCAAGCGACAAGGAAGAAGAAAATGCGATCATAATATGGGACGTTCGAACAGGAGAGAAGAAAAGAGGCTTCAAGAACGATGGAGCAAAGGACAAACCTGTTGAGCCTTTCAAGTGGTCGCATGATGGCAAGTATTTTGCGAAGATTGCAGATGAGAGTATTCAGGTGATCATGTTTCTGATGACGAGCTATTTGATTCGATTGTGCAGGTCTATTCTACCGAAGACTTTAAGCTGCTAGATAAGAAATCATTCAAGCTTCCAGTGAGAACTCTCTTGTCGTACAGTGAGATTCAAATTGATGCTGTTCCGTAGGGTGTAAAAGAGTTTCATTGGTCGCCGAGCCAGAATATTATGGCCGCCTTTGTTCCTGGATCTGGTGATGGCCAGACGCCAGCCAGAGTTGTACTCATAGAGGCAAGCGTTCATGTCATCTTGTTGACTTCGATGTTCCTTCCTATGTCCAATTCCTCGTGCTGTTGAGTGTCAGCCTGGCGTTTCGATGGTCATGGTTCCTGTGATGGTGATGGGCAGGTTCCCTCCCGCAAAGAGCTCCGCCAGAAAAATCTGTTCAGTGTTAGTGACATCCAGATGCATTGGCATCCTGATGGCACCTACCTGTGTGTCAAAGTTGACAGGCAGAAGTCGAAGAAGACGACGACTTACAGCTTTGAGCTCTTCCGCATCAAGGAGAGAGATATCCCTATTGAAGTGCTCGAGATCAAGGACAGTGTCGTTGCCTTCGCCTGGGAGCCTAAGGGCCACCGATTTTGCTTGGTCCATGGCGAGCAGCCTCGGCCTGACATCAGCTTCTACACGATGCTTAAGGAGGGGAAGGCTGCGGTGAGTTTGCTGAAGACGCTGGAGAAGAAGCCAGTGAACGAGCTCTTCTGGTCGCCCATGGGACATCACATCGTGCTCGCGGGGCTCAAGAACCTCAATGGCATGCTCAACTTCTACAACGTGGATGAGATGGAGTCCATGAACGAGGACGAGCACTTCCTCTGCACTGATCTCGTGTGGGACCCCACTGGCCGCTACGTATGCACCTATGTCTCTGCCTTCCGCCAGCCCATGGAGAACGGCTATACCATATGGAATTTCGCAGGTCGACCTCAGCTGCGCACAGCCAAGGACAAGTTCTTTCAGGTGGATGAGAGTCGAGTCGAGGGCGAGCAGCCTTGTCATGCTTGTTGCAGTTCCTGTGGAGACCTCGACCTCCTTCGCTGCTCACGGCGAAGCAGGAGAAAGAGATTCGCAAGCAGCTGGCTGAATATTCGCAGAGGTGAAGGCTGGCTGCCTCTCGTGCTCACAACGATGCTGAATCTGTTCAGGTACACGGAAGAGGATCGCAAAGCCAAAGAGCTCGCGGAGACAGGTGAAGGAGAGACAAAGCGCTATTCTTATCCTGACGCTATTGCAGCCCATTTGCGTGAGCGAGAAGCGAAGAGAAAGACGTTCGAGGAAGGAGAAGCGATCCGCAAGCAGCTCTATATGCAATGGCAGGTTGGCTTTCTCTGAGCTGCTGACACACATGAAACTGAAGATGCGCAGGAGGAGCGACGGGAGTTGCGTGGATGCTTGACAGACGACGAGGACTTGTATGAGTTTGTTGAGGAGACGTTTGAGGAAGTGCTGGAGGTGAAGGAGGAGAGAATTTGATGAAAGCATACCCCATTTCTTTACACTTCGTTGCTACTCGTTTATCTTGATCAACCCAAACACCTAGTGGGGCGTCAAAGTCCAGAGCAAGAGGGCAAGGAGACTTGAAGCTCAGACAGGAGGAGGAGGCAGAGATGAGACGCAGGAGGGGTGAAGGAGAAGAACAAAGTTCGTTTGGTGCTCACCGCTGAATGATCTGACGGTTGTGAGACACTTGTGGAACCCAAGCTTGACGCCCTGCTCGTCTTGTCAGTTACCTCCCGCCCCCCCCTTCCCTCTTCTGCCGTATGACTCTCCTCTCCCTCTCTGCTTCTTCTTACCAGTATTGCACGCTTTCGAGTCGAGCGAATTTCTTGAAGGCGACTTGAGAAGGCTCTCCAACGATGAGCTGAGGTGGACCGGTGCTGTCCTCTGCTCTGCTCTGCTCTGCTCCCTCCTCTCTTCCCTGCAGGTTCTCAGGGCTCGTCAGGTCGCCAGCCCCTCGCGGCATTGCTTCTTCTCTCCAAGTCGAGTGTCTCTGCGGTATCCATCGTTGCAGCCACGAACCTCCTTCAGGTTTCTTGCTGCAGTCGCCGCCGCCTCTGCTACTTGATCCTCCAGCCCTGCTACGCCTCCACCCAATCCACCCTCCAGCTTGCTTGCTCCCATCCTCCTGCCTGGGCCCTTCTAGCACGTGTCCTCCGATATCAGCATCAACGACAAGAGGGTGGGGAGGAGGAGTGAGGGGGCAAGAAGGTGTTTGCTGTGAAGGAGGGTGGGAGGGAGGAGGAGAAGGTGGTTCTGGTGGTGATGCCTGTAGCTCGTCGACGGCAAAGAAAGCGCTGCAGCGGCATGGCAGAGGGAACCCTTGCTTGTTTTCGCATGCGGAGGCAGCGAGAGAGTTGCGGAAGCGATCCCAGGTGTTGGTCTTGTCTGACCCGCTTAGAGCTCCCACGGACGGCAGCCGCTGATGGCAGTCGGCCTGCACGTGGGTGAGAGAGAAGACGAGGAGAAGGAGAAGGAGCTCGTGACAGGAGAAACGCGACAGAGGAAATCAGAAAATGAGTGAAGGAGAGGAAGTAGGGAAGGAGAGGAGGAGTTGTTATGACCAGGTGATAGCGTGAGGTGCTCACATGGTTTGACGGGTAAAGGTCTCGAAGGATGAGTCGAGGACTGTCGGCATGTGGGAGGCGGAGGAGAGGATAAGACTCGAACTTGCCGCATAAAACAAGGCCCATGCTCCCCTCCCCTCCCAAAGAGCTGCAAGTCTTTATCGCCTCCAGCAGCGCTGAGGTTGCGGCAGAATGAAGGAGAGGCTGCGCAGGAAGGGAAGTGACGGACAGGAGAAGCTTCATGCCAGGGAGAAGCTGAAAATGAGAATCAGCGAGAGAGCCAACCTGACAAGCGCACAAGCAGCAGAGAGGAGCACAAAACATAGAAGAAGTTATCAGATGCAAGAGCAAGAGGCGATGTATGCCCGTGCGAGCCGTTAAGGTTCAGATGTGTCTCGGATTGAACGACAGCAACGAGTCTCACAGATGTCACGTCAACGAGCATCGAAGCGACGCCGCCGTAAGCTCCCCTGGGGAGTGCTAGAGCCGGATGACTGCAGCCTTCATGCCTGCACTGTGATCAAAGAAGGACGGGAGAGGAGGAAGAGACTTGGGGAAGGGAGCGAAGCTCTGCCAGAGGAGCGGATGACGCGAGGCAACCTTAAAGAAAGTTAGGGGAAGAGACGAGAGATGAAGAGAAGGAGAGCGAAGACAAAGAAAGCGAGACGAGCAACAAGACAGGAAAGCACGCGAGTTGGCAACACACAGCAAGACACGTGAATGACTGCAACAAGAAACATAAAGGAGGGAGACAAGCAAGGGAGGTAACGAGAGGATGAGGAGGAGAGACAGACCAGGATGCCGCTGTCTCTAGTGATTCCGAGTGAACGCGGCCCCACATGCGAGAGGAGGTGGTGGAATCCCATCTCCCCCGCAAGCGTGTTCATCAGGCTCGTCTTGCTGTCTTGCGCGTGTACCCCCAGGAGGATCACCAAGTGAAGGCGATGCGCGTGAGAGCCTTCGAGCAAGCTCTTGAGCCATGCGCTGATCGCTGCCGTTCTGCCATGCCGGTGAGACCCCAGCAGGCGCTCAAGACGCCCCTACCTCTCAGTTGTGCAATGAAATCGACTTGCGATCCTCTCGTCCAGTGAAGTGTCGAGCATCACAAACCCGAGCTCTCGTCCTCCTCTGCACCACTTACAGTCAGGTGCCACGGGAGGCGAGAGGAGGGATTGAAAGGAAGAGGGAAGCAGGGAGGGGGCGAGAAGGAAGGGGAAGGAGGGGAGGGGCGAGAAGGAAGAGGAGGGGAGGGAGGAGGAGAAAGGAGGGGAGGGAGGAGGAGGGAGGAGGAGAGGGAGTGAGGGAGCATCAGGTCAGGTCTGACAGCGTCAGGTCTCGCAGTCCGAGACTCATCGGGCTGAACTTGCGGGTAAAGAAGCAGCGGGTGACGATGTGCCTCCCTTGGTTCCCCTTCCTGTACTCCCTCTCCACCCCCCAGCCCTGCGCACTCGAGCTGCTGTACTTGATCCATGCTCCCACCGCCGTCTGCCACCGCACGGTGAAGGAGACAAACTGCTTGTCATCAGCACGAGAGGGCGAAAAGCGACGGGGATGGAGAAAGAGGCAGAGGACATGAGGAAGCGACGAGGGAGCGAACCTGCGAGAGGCCACTCTCAAGCGAGGCCTTGTAGGTGACGCTGCCGTCGATGAGGGTGAAGAGACTGCCGCGAGTCTCACAAGCCATGCAGACCTGAGGACGTGAGACACTGGCGGGTAGTAGAAGAGATAGAAATGTCTGCTGGGTGATGGAGATGAGGTGGCTAGAAAAAGTTGAAGGAAGAAGGGAAAATGGGACGAGGTGAGAAACGGGAGGGTGAGGGGGAGTGGAAGAGAGGGGGGGGAGGGGGCGTGAAGGGAGGGGAGGGAGGATGGAGGATGGAGGAGGGTTGAGGCTCCACCTGCTTCCCGGGGTCAATCTTGGCAGGGGGTTGCATGGGCCATCGGCATCGCTGTGAGGTCTCATGAGCGGCGAGGACGAGAGGGAGGGAAGTGACGTTGCACACGTAGAGCACGAGGCTGCGAGCTCTGTCACCAACAGGACCCGAGCCAAGAGGAAGAACCTGCGATGCCCCCCCGAGAAAGGTCCGCGCACGCTCTCTTCCTCCGCCAGCTCCATCTCTTCCACGAACTTGCTGTCCCACACGCTCCTGACTCCCTCCAACTTCTCGTCGTGTTCTCGCAGCACCATGTCGGCCCCGCAGCACCAGGACGCGTCCCCGCTAGACACGTGCTCGTATTCCTTGTCGCTGATTCCCTCCTGCCATCCCTGTGCCACAACTGCTTCAGACTCTCGTCCCTGACCATCCCCTCCTCCATCTGCAATCTTTTTGGAGGTCCATGCGTTCTGACGGAGAAACGTCAATGCAGAGCGAAGGTCAGAGACGAGGCTCCGTCTGTCTGAGTCTTCAGCATCCTCCTCGTCGATCTTGGGCAACTTGAAGCCGCTCGGCGTGTAGCGTTTCTTCCTCACTCTTTTCTTGTACAGCCTCCTCCTTGTCATCCTCTTGGATGATTCAACTTCATCGCCATCGTAATCGCGTTCGCCGTCAGGACGCTGGTTCGCTCCTAACTCTCCATCTTCATTCATCAACCCCTCTGCCTCAGCATGTCGCCCTGCTCCCTCCTCAACTCCTTTTTCGCCATCGCTCACGTCCTTGTCTACAAGAAGCAACGTCGTGCAGTCATCGAAGTGAACATGTTTAACCAAGGGCTTCGGTTCGATCAAGTTCTTCAACGATGCTTCAGACGCTTTCAAGATGTCGCCGTGAGTTTCATCCGCAACTAGTCTCCGCCAACAACTCGCACTTGACGCTTTCGGCTCAATCAATCGGATGTTTTTTGTTTCGAAGTTTGGTTTGAGCCTTAGACGAAGAAATCACTTGAGAAAACAAGACAAGTCAACGCTGTACCCTATCAGCCCATCTTCGTGAATAAGAATGCTACTAGGATCCTTGGCTACTATCATCTGTTTCTTCTTTTCTCCTATCAAAAGGCTTTACACCCCCCCTCCCCGATCCTCTTCTACCTCGATTGACGGACAACACAGATGTTGCTTCAGCAGCACATGGTAGCGCGGTGTCCTGGTCCTGCTGGCCTTGACTGAAAGAGCAAGGAGCATCAGAGGGACTTGAGATCTTCGCAGCTGCCTTGCATGCGTCTTCCAGCACCCCATCCTTTGTGCCGCATGAGCTTTGACTTGAAGCCTTCGGCGCGAGGAAGAGCATAGATCTTGCGATGGCATGATAATCAATGCGAGATGGTTGATCATCAAGTTTGAGGCTGTAGACATCAGAGGGTAAGATAGAAACTGTGAGCAAGGGAGGATCACTTTGAAACTTGTTCTGATCGAGAGACGCTGCTGCAAGCTTCGAACCCTTCATCCTGATGGAAGAGAGACAACAATGTGTCAGGCTAGCAATCAGATCCAAACCTTCTCTCCCCCTGCACTTGCTCGTTCTTGTCCCTCCTTCTCTCCCCCTGCACTTGCTCGTTCTTGTCCCTCCTTCTCTCCCCCTTGTTGCTTCCTCGCCTCGCCTCTCCTGCCATCCTTCAAGGTCCTCACCGACATGGGGCCCGAAGGAAAAGATCGTAAGGTGGCAGGGGTAGTGTCATCCCTTATTTCAGTGGGTAGGGGTAGTCAACCCCTAGGGGTACAAATCTATT